GGAAAAGCAGCGCGATGCGCTCAACTGGAGGGCCAATGGTGCATTATATATATATATAACTATATAATATATTATTTACATGGTATACACCATTATAAACCCAGGTTGAATCTCACCCGACATCGAACGGCCTGAACCCCAGAACCCACCCAGGTGCGGGTGGTCCGTTGATGGGATCCTCCCTTTCTTGGAGAACACCTTTGGCGAGCCTGATATCAATTTGTTTTCAAACACCCTAAGGAATGTGCACCAGAAATGGGGGTGCTCAGGCTTGGAGAGAGAGGAAAGCAGCTGAGACCCAAGTAAATGTAACGCTTCAGGTTTCATGCTACGCACATGGGTGGCTTCGGTGGAACACGGAGAACTCGTACCGAACCCTGGACCAAGCCGTTTCCTGAGTTTCATCGCAAAGCCTCACCCAGTGAAAGCTTTGCAGATTCCAAGGCCTGAAAAATCCATGACGCGTTGGGCTTATCGGAGCGGTTTCTTTCATGGGTGAATGAAGGTCGTGTATAAGTACTGTCTTGCGACATGTTGTGACACTCTTCATGGAATATTGTAAGGCTTGGGGACACCATTCACAGAGATTGGATTCTTCGAAGGCCTGGTGGGCACGTGAACGGAGGCCTTGAACTAGCAAACATAATCACCCGTCTCATGTCAGGCGGCATATCGTTGAGGTGGAAAAGAATGATTTCACAGATGGTCGATTTCGCCGAGCGGGCAGCTCAATCGATAAGTGAACGGCATGCTCAGAAATTGATTTTGCGTGGCAAGCACTATCTTGTTTACAGAGCTGGTCGCGAGAGCCTGTGTTTGACGTGGCGTTAAGTGTGTTCTTTGACCTATCTTTTGGTGAGGACCCAGCTGAGGAGGAAGAAGAGAGGTGCTTCATTTTCGGGCGTTGCTAAAGGCGTTTGATGCGCTTCAACGAACAGTTGTCGTTTTTGATCCTCTGTATATTCCACATAACGTGGCATCAATTCAAGGAGGCAGTTGGCTCATCGACATCAACATTCCCACCAAGGGGAGCATGAATCTTCCCCTCATTCAGCCAATTCCTTCGCGCTGCTGACCTAGATTCGTTCCTGCGTCATTTCTCATGCTCATGAGAAGTCCAGGTGTACAGAAATGACCTGCAACGATTGTCGCTGTAGGACATTGCAAGGGAATGCTGAAGGCCTGTGCTTGAGTTGGTGCCTTCATAGAGCTGTGCATGGCAAACAACACCTGCATCCTTAGGCAGAGGGCGCCCTCAGTACGTGTCGCATGCAACTGAGCAGCTACCGCTTTTCATCTACCTTTCAGTGATGCGGCGCACTCCTTCTCAGGATACGTCCGACCTCAGCCCAGGTCCCAGCATGAAGCAATGTAAAGGTATACATACAGTCATTTTGTCACTTGCCAGGAACACACGACGGACTTCGTGTTTGGGGTACGATTTGATTATAGTCATATCTTTCTGAAGCTCTAGACTTGAGAGTGTTTTGTAAGTCTGACAGGAGATATGTTTGGTGGAGTTTTTAGGATGAGTCCTTAAGGATGACTTCATCCAGCAGAGGCTTGTGGGCGGAACACTCTCAGTTCATGGAGCAGCCGTTTGGAGTATGGGAGAGCTCAAAAATAGACAAAACAAACAAGAAATTACTTTAGGTCGAGTGATTCCCACCATGACATTTCAATCGTTTGCTTTCATGCCATTTTATGCCATGGGGAGGAGCATCTTGCCATGGTCGTGGGTTTTGTGGTCTTTGATTTTGCTTCTGGGTCGTGTGTTTGTGGTTGTGTTTGTGGTTATGTTTTGTGTTTGTGTTTTGTTGGCTGTGTACTCTGTATTGTGTGTTTGTGGGTATGTTGTGTGGTTGCGTGTTGTGTGTTGAGGCCCGGTAGTGCTCACTGTGATCTGGCACTTGCGGTTGAGGTCTGGTAGTGCCCACTGCGATCGGGCACTTGCGGCTGAGGTCCGGCAATTCCCACTGCGATCTGGCACTTGCGGTTGAGGTCCGG